TTTTATGTGAGAGACTTTTATAAATTTAGGGACAAAATATTTGGAGCTACCATGCTCTAACAGGCACAAGTTTCAGAATATTTTGAAAACTCAGAAGGGAAGTTACGATTCAGAGGCACAATATTGATAAATATTTTGGTTAAAAATAATAACTACAAGCAACCTGAAGATGCATGTAAAAAAACAGTGAGTATTTTAATAGAAAAACAATATAAAACCTCAAAACCCATACTTTACATCTACTCAGAACAAGAACAAACTTAGTTCTTTGGGCCCAATTCTTCAAACTCTTACTGATGCAAATATTCCAAAGAAGACTGCATCAATCCCAAAGAAAGCAAAGTAAGAACTGTGTAAATTGCCAATGTAATGAAATGAAATGAAATAATAAGTAACATCCACCACAGATACACCCAGGATAGATACTAGAGGACATTACTACAGTTTTCAACTTTCTTTTCTTTTTGAGTACACGTCATATAAAGACAAAAGGGTTGGAAGAGTTACCCTAGTTATAATAAAAGGTGTAAAATAGTACATCTGAATCAACTGGTTCAAAATAAGCACAATAGCCATAAATTATTGCTAAAACACTTACTGAAAATTTACTTTATCTACTTGAAATCTTGTTTCAAAAATCCCGGATGTCAAAACTCTGCATCTTAACAGATCCTGGAAATAAGAAAACATACAGAGATGAATGATATTTCACCTTCTTATTTTAATTTCAAATGCTCCCTTACATGAAAGTATTTGATGTTTATTGTTAGTAAAGTAAAATCTGTCTTGTTTAGAAGCATCAACATGCAAGTTCACCCAATCAGTATACAAATAAAATATCATAATTAGATCTGCCCACAATAATCTTGACTTTATAAAAACAGGCCTATGTCCAACATTTTCATCCACCTAAGCACATACAGAAGACTATTTCCTATGATTGTATAAAGTTCAACATATAAGATGGATAATGTACTTTAAATTATATAAAAATAAGTTTAAAATGTTCGGCTGCAAAGTGAAGCAATCACAAGTTAGGAAATTCCAGATTTACAGTTGCTTATGCAACCTCAATTCTGCCTCCTCATGCCCCGAATGAGTCCTAAGGAAAATCAGTAGGTGATCATGTAATTAAAGATTGTATTGTAATTAACAGCATGCAGAATTAAGGTGATATGCACAGCTGTAAACCTGGCACTTCCTGTCTTTTGAGTACTACTTAACTTTTAAAACAAATATTCTTCACAAACTTAAAAAACAACAAATGGTCTGGTAGCACTTTACAGATGACCGGAGTTCTGTGCCCACGAAAGCTCATGATACCAACTACATGTTTTGTTAGTCTATAAAGTTCTACCAGACCATTTGTTGTTTTTTAAGTTTATCCTGTACAGACTAACTTGGCTACCCCCTGAAGATTCTTCACATAGTTTTTAATGTAATTTTTAATGTAATTTTCTAGATTTTTATTAAAAAGGAAAAATATTTTTAAAATTTACTATGTGCTACCGTACAACTTTATCAACAGAGTTTGAACCCTGAACCTTCCACTTCTGCAGCCCAGACTACTATGACTTGAGCTACAGAACTAGCTGCAGAAGATGGCTCAGAGGTGGGAAGAAGCCTGATCTACTTCTCGCACTTTCTCTTCTTCCCTCCTAGGACTTGGGGGAACTGTTCCATGTGCTGACTTTGGAAGATGGCATGAGTTGATTTGGCCAGGGACTCTTGGAGCCAGACTGGCTCACGTCTCTCACTCCCCATTACCCCTAATGAGTTAAGAGAGAGTTTCAAGCCCACATATGGTGCTACAAGCTGGAGAAGGGAGAGAAATGAGCAATGTGGGGTGGTGTACTGAGTATGGAGAGGGGAGCCCAAGCTAGTCTCTTTCTCTCCCCTCCAATACCCACAGCTCAGGTGCTTTGGGTAGTTAATCAGACACCTGCCAGTAACCCAGCTGCCAACATTTTCCTGAGAAATGCAAGAGAAATGATGATTTTTCTAAGTTCCCTCTCAGAAAAACCTGAAAAGAATTTCATGGGACAAAGGCACATGTCTTGCCCAAAGAAAGCTTCTCTCTCTTCCAAATATCAAAGGCCCCATGAAAACAACAGAGGTGTGAGAACTGCTCAGATAACACACATAACATAACTTTCTACTTTCTACAGCAGCAAGCGTCAGGCAACCACCTTCGAGCTGCAAAATCATCACTTTATCAGTTTTAGTAATCTGTTATTTGCTTATTCCCTTTCTGTTTTGTATTCACTCTGCTGTATGATTTTTTGTGTGTGAATATTGTTTACAAATACTGTAGTTATAATGCCTATGCACTGCAACATGTTTCATGGTGTATCTGGATAGTCTTGTGTTTAAGGCCCCCTGCCTCAGGAGACTCAGAATCCATTCCTCGCTCTGCCATAGCATGATGGGGGCAAATTTGGCTACGACAAATCAGGAAAGAGATCTTGGAGTTATCGTGGACAGTTCTCTGAAAACTTCCACACAGTGTGCAGCGGCGGTCAAAAAGGCAAATAGGATGCTACGAATTATTAGGAAAGGGATAGAAAATAAGACCCAGAATATCTTACTGCCCCTGTATAAAACTATGGTACGCCCACATCTTGAATACTGTGTACAGATGTGGTCTCCTCACCTCAAAAAAGATATTTTGGCCTTGGAAAGGGTTCAGAAAAGGGCAACTAAAATGATTAGGGGTTTGGAACGGGTCCCATATGAGGAGAGGTTAAAGGGACTGGGACTTTTCAGTTTAGAAAAGAGGAGACTCAGGGGGGATATGATAGAGGTATATAAAATCATGACTGGTGTGGAGAGAGTGAATAAAGAAAAGTTATTTATTAGTTCCCTAAATAGAAGAACTAGAGGACACCAAATGAAATTAATGGGGAGCAGGTTTAAAACTAATAAAAGAAAGTTCTTCTTCACACAGCATGTAGTCAACCTGTGGAACTCCTTGCCAGAGGAGGCTGGGAAGGCTAGGACTATAATAGAGTTTAAAGAGAAGCTAGATAATTTCATGGAGGTTAGGTCCATAAAAGGCTATTAGCCAGGGGATAAAATGGTGTCCTTGGCCTCTGTTTGTCAGAGGCTGGAGAGGGATGGCAGGAGACAAATCGCTTGATCATTGTCTTCGGTCCACCCTCTCTGGGGCACCTGGTGCTGGCCACTGTCGGTAGACAGGATACTGGGCTAGATGGGCCTTTGGTCTGACCCAATACGGCCGTTCTTATGTTCTTACAGACTTCCTGTGTGACCTCTGGTTAAGTCAATCAATCATTCTGTGCTGCAGTTACCCAACTGCAAAATGAGACAATACTTTCTATCTCCCACCCTGTATATGCCTATTTACATTGCAAGCTTTCCAGAACAGCACCTCACAATGGGGCCTTTCATGTTAATTAGGACCTTTAGATGCTACCGTAATATGAGTAATGAAAAAATGTAAATACTTCAGCTTAAATCATTGGAGGCACAAATGGATATAGCATCAAGGCATCTAGGAGAGGAGTATGTGACTGAAAGACAAATTTTTGGAACCCATGCTGGAAGGCCTCTGGGTGCCGTAACAAAATAAAATGAAACAATTTAAAAAAATGGGAGGTCAGCCTAATGTAACATTCGGTAGCTACAGGGTGCACATGATACATTCATATGATGCATCTGTGTCCCAACATGAAACTAAGGAAATCATTCCCCTTCTAACATGTTTATGGCTTAGCACAGTGGTCACCAACCAGTAGATCTTGGCACCTCTGACAGGTGATCCTGACTGGTTTGGCCAAAAGGTTCTCAAGTGCCAGCACTTCAGCTGCCCCTCCCCACACTGCTGCTCGTCTCTCGCCCTTTGCCTTGGAGCTGTCCCCTCAGGAGACTCCAGCTTGCTGTGCAGGGGAGGGAGCGAAGAGTGCTGATGTCAAGGTGCTCCCTCTCCCACTCTGTATCTTATCTCCACAGAGCAGAGAGGGGGCACAACAGGACTTGGGATGGAGTTTACTGACTGCTTTTGGGAGTGGTGCAGGGCCAGGGCAGGGGTGAGCCTGCCTTAGCCTCACTGCGCCACCACCCAGGAGACACCTGAGGTTAGCAGTGCCCATATGGAGCCCACATCCCAAAACCCTACTCCAGTCATGAACTCCCTCCTGTACCTGAAGCCCCTGCCCTAACTCTGAGAACCCCTGCATCCGATCACCCTCCCAGAGCCTGCCCCTAGAACCCCCTCCAGCCCCCCAACTGCCTGCCCCAGGCTCAGCTCAGAGCCCCTCTCATACTTCAAATCACTTAATCCAAAACGAGAGCCTGCACCCCAACTGCCTGCCCCAGCCTGGTGAAAGTGAGGAGTGAGCAGGAGGCAGGGCCTCTGACATTGAGCACAAAGGAGATGGGGCAAGGGTACTTGGGTGTGAGATAGACCTTGGATTGCACTTAAATTCAAAAAGTGATCTCATGCTTAAAAAGGATGGAGACCACTGGCTTAGTAGAACTTCAGTGTGAACAAACTCATTAGGTATGCTTTCCCCAGAGCTGCTTCCTCATATACTCTAGTGTGGATAACTATCACACAGCTCTGGTCTGTCACAAACAGACGGCAGAGTCCTCAGTGCACCATCTTTCTCCTGTTTACTAAGTAGAAATTAAACATTTCTTTCACATATGAACATCTGCAAAATGAGACAATACTTTCTATCTCCCACCCTGTATATGCCTATTTACATTGCAAGCTTTCCAGAACAGCACCTCACAATGGGGCCTTTCATGTTAATTAGGACCTTTAGATGCTACCGTAATATGAGTAATGAAAAAATGTAAATACTTCAGCTTAAATCATTGGAGGCACAAATGGATATAGCATCAAGGCATCTAGGAGAGGAGTATGTGACTGAAAGACAAATTTTTGGAACCCATGCTGGAAGGCCTCTGGGTGCCGTAACAAAATAAAATGAAACAATTTAAAAAAATGGGAGGTCAGCCTAATGTAACATTCGGTAGCTACAGGGTGCACATGATACATTCATATGATGCATCTGTGTCCCAACATGAAACTAAGGAAATCATTCCCCTTCTAACATGTTTATGGCTTAGCACAGTGGTCACCAACCAGTAGATCTTGGCACCTCTGACAGGTGATCCTGACTGGTTTGGCCAAAAGGTTCTCAAGTGCCAGCACTTCAGCTGCCCCTCCCCACACTGCTGCTCGTCTCTCGCCCTTTGCCTTGGAGCTGTCCCCTCAGGAGACTCCAGCTTGCTGTGCAGGGGAGGGAGCGAAGAGTGCTGATGTCAAGGTGCTCCCTCTCCCACTCTGTATCTTATCTCCACAGAGCAGAGAGGGGGCACAACAGGACTTGGGATGGAGTTTACTGACTGCTTTTGGGAGTGGTGCAGGGCCAGGGCAGGGGTGAGCCTGCCTTAGCCTCACTGCGCCACCACCCAGGAGACACCTGAGGTTAGCAGTGCCCATATGGAGCCCACATCCCAAAACCCTACTCCAGTCATGAACTCCCTCCTGTACCTGAAGCCCCTGCCCTAACTCTGAGAACCCCTGCATCCGATCACCCTCCCAGAGCCTGCCCCTAGAACCACCTCCAGCACCCCAACTGCCTGCCCCAGGCTCAGCTCAGAGCCCCTCTCATACTTCAAATCACTTAATCCAAAACGAGAGCCTGCACCCCAACTGCCTGCCCCAGCCTGGTGAAAGTGAGGAGTGAGCAGGAGGCAGGGCCTCTGACATTGAGCACAAAGGAGATGGGGCAAGGGTACTTGGGTGTGAGATAGACCTTGGATTGCACTTAAATTCAAAAAGTGATCTCATGCTTAAAAAGGATGGAGACCACTGGCTTAGTAGAACTTCAGTGTGAACAAACTCATTAGGTATGCTTTCCCCAGAGCTGCTTCCTCATATACTCTAGTGTGGATAACTATCACACAGCTCTGGTCTGTCACAAACAGACGGCAGAGTCCTCAGTGCACCATCTTTCTCCTGTTTACTAAGTAGAAATTAAACATTTCTTTCACATATGAACATTAGGGACGTAAAAGGTTAACCAGTTACCCAGTAAGCATCAGCCTGTTTAGCAATGTTTACCAGAGGGCTGGGCAGGAGCCTACTACCTGAGGCGGGTCTGGTTGGTAGGACCCCAGCAGTGGTGGGGCCAGAGCAGCTCCTTGCTTACCATGGGCTGGCTAGCAGGACCCCACCTCCTCTGCATCAGCCTTTGGTTTACCGATTAAATGATTAAAATTATATTGTTTAAGTGGTTAACATTTTTAATGGGTAGTTACATCCCCCATGGAGACTTTCCCAGAAAAGCTAGGGATTTCTGAATCAGTGCCAGATGCTGTGGTTTGAGGGAGACACCATGGAAAGTAGGAAGGAAGAACAGATGGATCACAGGAGTCAACAACAACACTGACTGTATTAATATTGCTGGTTCCATTGAAAGGAGACTAACATATTTTGAACTGGAATATTTCATTGTCTCCTTAGAGTGCTGGCTGTACCGCACTGGATTCAAGAACTATATAGTTTCCCTTATTTCTATGGGACATGAAAAGCAGCTGAGATTAAAGTAATGTTGACATAAATAATTAATGTAAATGAGGTTCTTGTCTCCCATCCCCAAGAGAAACTATATTACAGTAGAAATTACTAACTTTCAAAAACAGATACCCTAGTTCACGCGCTACCTCTTCAGTTTCACTCACCTGGTCTGTGGGTGTATAGTCAACCAGACTGACGCTGTCAATTCTTTCCAGAAAGCTAGAATAAAAAACAAACACATACTTAGTATGTGTGAATTCTACCATCTCTGTTACCCAGCGATGGACAACCTAGGATAAGGAGTGGGCTGCATGAATAGCCCTCCTTCATCTCAGTGGACCGCAAGATTGTTATAACAAATTCGGTCTCCCAGAATAGGGTAGTTTTGCTAACTGCACTTATGTACCTAGAATTTATGGGGTGTGATAACTGAAAAATAGTAGCGCTTTGATTGGATGCGGAGGGCACGCTCTGCTCTCTCAGTCAATGTTGTGCACAATCAGGATATACCTTACTTCACATACCCTTGCTTTATGTGTGTGTCACTTTAGTAATACCGGTAGGAAAAAAACTACACAGACAGAAACCAGCAGAATCTGATAACCCCGTGTGTGGGTAAACAAAATGTCTTGTGGGCATAGAACCCGCTAGGTTGTCCACCACTGTGATTTTTTTCAATTTTAGATTCTAGCATTTATAAAAGGATGGATTCAAGGTTAAGGCCTAAGCCTAACAACTGATTAAATAACATTATTTATTTTCTGTCCCCAGTATATCATTTACCCAGTTCTTGGTGCAACATTATGCTTTGTACTTATTGTCATACAATACCCACAAACCAGTCAACTGGAATCAAAGAATATATAAAGTTTGTAAAAGTGCATTAAATTAAAATATTGGTTTAAATCCATGCTTCCTCATATAAAATAATGCATTTATGCAACAGGAACATTGTCAAGTTGTTTACAACTAAAATTTAGGTTTTGGTTAAAGAAAGTGGGAAGAGAGGTTTGTTTTGTTTTATAAACAAAACCTATTTTAAAATTCTATTAATGTTAATCATTTACTATAAAGAGGTAAGTATAATATAAGTAAGGAAATTCAAAATGCCTGGTATTAATTAAAATGCGGGTCTCTTCCCCAGGTTTTTTTTAATTTGTTTACTTGTTTGAGTCCAGATGGCTTATTTTTAGGGATTGCCTCAATTACATAGAATCTTTCTTGAATTTCTGGATTGTCTTTTGTGCACAATCTTTGTCAGTAAATCCACTGCATGGTATAAAGTTACTGTTATCAAGATTTCTCTGAATTAGCAAGTTTTCCCCCCTCACATCCAATTTTTCTAATTTTAAGGGTATGCACATGGAATTTATTTAATTATAGTGGGAAATACAAAGACACATTGGACTCCTGACTTTCAGAGTGACTCCAACAGATAGCTCTGCACACACTGGTTGCAAAAAATACCCCCCCAAACTGTATTTGTACAGTACTCTGCTATGAAGGCAAATTTAAAGTGAACGAAAGATAAAGTATGTACATGCATATAATTATGGCATTTAAATATATACATATATAAGACAAACACAAAAATTTACTTGTAATTTTTTTGGTTTTCTGCTGCCATTACGGCAGATAACAGAGATATAATAATCTGGTAACTCCATGATCACAAGTTCATTTTTAAATGATATGTACATTAATATAAAAAATAACAATATTGTTTATGATTTAGTGAAACTAGCTATGTGTGATGTGTATTGGAAAAAACATATGGTGATCAATGTATGTTAATAGGTCAATGTATGTTACTTCTAGGGTTTGGCAGAATCTCAGTGTCTTCACAGTGCATTAACCTTTTAATGTACTACCCTGTTCTAGCAAATTTCCCATGGTTTACTTGTTTTTTTATTACTGAAGAGCTGTATAGTTTTCTCAAATTTAAAACAAATCCCTAAAATAAAAACCCAATATCATTATTTGCAGAGAGAAAAATAATTCTTAAATACCCTGCATATAAATTATCTAGTTGGTTAATTACCACAGTACTAGATCATAGTTGATAACCAAGTAAGTGCACTGCTTGTACATGTAATGGATTCCAGAAATGAGGAGATATTGAGCTGATATCTTACTTAACACACAGACTCCTTCCTCTTCCATCACAGCACCAAACACATTAATTTGAACTCGTTTTTAAAAATTGATTTCCACAGAACATTAATTTCTATTAGTCCCCACATACTTCTATTAATTGCCTCTTGTTGGAATTTACAGTTTTCAGGTATACTAAAGATACAAGATGAAAATTTCAGATTTGATATGCTTAATGTGAGAGAATTCATTCTGTCATTATTTATTCTTACATCAGCAATATTTAAATAATAAAAATGCAATAGAAAACCTGTAAAAGCTGGGGAAATAATTTTTTCTCTTTGTACTTGTCTATGCACACAATCTACACAATATATAAAGCTAAGGAAATAAAATGAATTTCTACTGTATTGACAAATCCTCTATTTGTGTATATTCTTGCCAAACATACATTCATTATTTTTGTCAACCCTGCAGTGTTTTACATAAATCTGCATTGAAATGCAGATTAAACATGTAGGCTTTCATGTGTGTATTGAAACTACAGCACAGTATAGACGGTCCAATTACATTTATTAATTCACAATCCTATTTTTATTTATGAATAATTCTGATCTATAATTGACATTACAGTTAGTTTCTACTGTACACTTTATTATACGATGTTTTACATATTCTGACATGGAACAATTTGTTATTTATTTATTTAATTTTAAACTGATGATGCAGAAGTGGAAGGTAAAATTGATGGAAAGATCATCAAGCCCTTATAAGTAAACTAGTTTAGTTCATTGTTGACTTAAAGCATGTTAAAATAGATGGGAGAAATAAAATAATAATAATCACCTGGCACTATTCTTTCTATCTATTATTATGTCTATCTGTAGTTTTATAAATATCCATAGCAAGTTTCCTAGGAAACTCAGCTGACAGTTTGACAAGCATTCTCTAGATTTTATCATGAAAGCTGTGAACATGAAAGTGCAGTTCCAGACCTGCATAGAGAAAAACTATCACTAGGTATTATCACTTTCTAAAAACCATAGGAATTTGAGCAGCTATAGTGGCCAGGAAAATATTTTTGAAAATAGGATTCATAAATGTTTAGGTAACAGTAGATAGTTGTACATCAAAGTCTCTTTCTGAATTATCAAGGGGAAACATTTATTCCGTATGGATAGTCCTACAATAAATACAAATAAAAGGAAGCACACCAACATTTTCCACACTCTTCAGAAATTACAATGGTCTTAACCCCAGAAACAGAATTATTCAACTCTGCACCTGCAACAAGTTTAAAGTTTGTAATCCTGAGATCTGACAAAACTAGAAATGGAAGTTTTGTATCACTGAAAAAGTGTTTCCTCAGACATTCTTTGATGGTAGCTACTCAAACTGAGAACTAGTATTTCCATAGACTTTGAATTGCCTTTATTTATCGAAATCTACAGAGATAGATTTGTGATACTTCTTTGTCATCATTCCAAGTAAAGGAGCTGGGGAGTAGTAACTGTTTATACTTTTGATAGGTTACAGAAGGAGACTCTTGGTTAGAGTAAAAATTCTAGCAGAAAGAACCCTTCCTATGCAGGAAACTCATCTAATTGTGGGAGGGCAATTATTCCTGTATACAGGCCACAGATAGACATTTTATGATTATAAGACCTATCACAATTACTTATAGAACTGAAACTGAAAATGAGCTCTCTCCTGGGTAGCTGCTATGAGAGAAGATTCTGTGATGGTAACACTTTATTATAATATGTCTTCTAGATCAGAGTATGGCTTTCCATGCCCTATATGCCACTACTCTCAAAGACACAAGACTAGAGATTGTTGCTTTAGGGAATGCTCTAGTTTCCTTAATTCTACAAGGTCACACTGATGGTCTTCAATCAAACTTGCAATGTGCTCACTCCACTCTGTTTTTCAATAATCAAAGAGAAATTTGGTGAAATATTCTGTTGATGATATACAAAACACTAAAAACATCACTCTATAAATGATTTCCTGAAAATTTTCACTGAAATCAATTAACAGAGATAGGATAATTTTTTTGGTTTGGTTTGTGTTTAAATGTTATAATATATAGTTTTAAAATATTCCTCGTGCTCTTTGCAGCATTCTAGTTCATCCTCGGTAGGATTGTGCAGTGGTTTTCTATGCAGGAAAGGAAATCAATAACACAATGAACAGACATTCAAATTAGACAGAGGCAGTAAAACAGCATCTGTTTTTAATCCATTCTGGAGCCTGGAGCCCTTACTGTAGCTAAAAAAGAATATAGTTTTCTAATTCCAACTGTAAACAACCACAAAAGAAAATACCTAATATAGACACAGAGAATGTTACTAAATTTCACATTTATTTATGTAATATTTAAAACATAGTTACAGGTATGTTTTTATTGTATAATCTAAGAGTTCTATTGGGCAAAAATATTTCCAGTATTTAATTTTTGTGCTCTAGATGTACAAATATCTATTTCAATGCGCGCGCACACACACACACTACGACTAAGTAGTTGCAAGTGAGCACAATACCTAAAAAAAAAAAAAAAAAAAGTATTTTAGAAAGCCCTCAATGTATTTGATGCCCACAAATCAGACTGTTTCCCAAAGAAAAAACAGTTTCTTGTCATTTCAGACAGACTGGGCATTGCTTCAACAGCCTCACTACATGTATCTTACTTCAAAGAGACTTTAACACCAGACTACAAAGGGGAACCTCAGAACTGTCATTCATGCTTAAATTTGACACTTTACAAATGGGCCTTAAAGATGCTTACCCATTACTAAGATAGCTTCCCCAATTATCACCCCTAATATCATTATCTCATAGACATAGACCCTCCCTCTGTTCTAAAATCTGATTTGTCAATTTTGTGTGTGTTCACTTTTTTTATTGTATCCCTTTGGGCTATATGGTCATGCCAATTTTCTTCCACAATTTGATCTGAGGAAGTGGGTCTGGCCCTCGAAAGCTCATCACCTAATAAATCACCTTGTTAGACTTTAAAGTGCTGCATAGTCCTGTCTTTTGTTTCAGCAAGATCAGACTAATACGGCTACATCTCTATTACTATTCTGAATGTATACAATTAACTTTAATAGTAGATTAAATGC